AAAAAAAGATTTAGAGTAAATGAGGTTCGTGGAGGGTCAGGTATTTTCCATATTTTCCGTAGCCATCAGCTCTGCTCTAGACCAGAGTGGGTGTTGCCACTTTAATTGTGGTGTCCTGGCGGAGGGCCAGGACTTAATTGTTGATGACCCTTCCTTTTCTGCTAGCCCACTGTTAAGTACAACGGCTTCACAAAAAAGTTCACAAAAGTCCTTAAGAAGCCAGACGTGATGACACTGGAGGTTCAGTGACCACAACCCTACAAAAGGCAGGATGATGCCAAGGCTACCCTGTGGGAAGCCAACACCAAAATCTGTTTGCTCGCCTCCTGGACGCTGAGCTTCACTTGGATTCTTTTTCATATTTGCCAGTGGGTGTTTTAAGGTACATCCTATTGCCCTGGGTCAACTGTCTCAAGGATTTCCCCCAGTCTTCTTCATTTGTACATATATGCTCATTATTTTTTAAAATGTTGAAATTATAAAAAGTTATAAAGAAGAAAATAAATATTATCAGTTTTCCAACAACCTAGAAACAATAGTATTTAATGTTTTGGCGTATATTTGTCATATATATTGGAGCCTGTGTGTGTGTGTGTGTGTGTGTGTAGGTGTATAAATTTCACTGTTCAAACTTTTATCCCAGTCAACAATATACAATACATATCTTTACATCTGTCATGTCAGTATGCTTCCACCACATTTTGACATTTGTCTATTTCATTGTATACCATGATTTATATAAATAATCCATTTTTGTTGGCTGTTTAGATTGTTTCCATGTTTTGATTATTGTCAATAATGCTTCTATAATGCCTTTGTACATACATTTTGGGGCACATCTTTGACTTTTGCTTGGGATATATCCTAAAAGTGGATTTTCTCAGCTAAAGGATGTGCATCTATGGTTTTTGCTACATATCTGTGATACTGACCTCTAGACATGTGAAACCAGTTCAGAGTAACATTGTATACTCTTCACACCTCTTCACATTTCTTATTGTCCCTTGATATTTTTGTTAATCTGTCTCAAAGATCTGTAATGTTTTCTATAGATTTTTTTCCTATATTAGGTGCAAAAACCAGAGAATAGAAAAGAACAAATTAGCCAAGTGCCTTGTTTGCTTATTTTGTTTGCTCATTGCTGGTTTGGTTTTCTATTTGTTCTGCTATAAGTATGTCTGGAAAAATAAAATTAAACTGAGTAAGCTTGACTCATGAGGAAGCTCCCTTTCATTTCCCTGGAGCAAGGCAGCAGAGTGCTCACAGGTCCTGATATTAGCAATTACTATTTTGGAAGCACAATGAGAAGTGACTACATTCCTCAGTGTTATCAAGCTTTTTCCATTATCTCTCAAAAGTTTCATTTCACATACTTTCTCGTAAGGTCTGGATATACCCTATTGGTGTTTATGATATTTTTTATATTTCTCTTTATCTACTTTTTAGCATGTTGTAGTCTAAAGATGAACTATGCAAAAAAAAAAAAAAGTCATATATTAAACTTGCAAAAATTGGGAGCCAGAAGACCAAGATTCTAATACTTCCTCTGCTACCCACAGCTGAGCACAGTACTTAGACTCTGTGGGACCTCATTTCTGCATTGCAAATAGTTCTATATAACAGTCCAGGGGAGGTAGTGGTGGCCGTGAATGGGAAAGAATCTGTAGAGAGTCTTTATTAAATATTACTTGTGCCAGTTACTATGTATATATTGCTAATATTTAGCAATATATATTTTCTTTTTTCTTTTTTTTCTTATGTAGGCTCTGTACCCAGTATGGAGCCCAACATGGGGCTTGAACTCACAACCCTGAGATCAAGACCTGAGCTGAGATCGAGTCAGATGCTTAACTGACTGAGCCACCCAGGTGCCTCCTGTCCTCATTTTAAAGAGGAACCTGAGGTTCAGAGATGTGAATTGCCCAGGTCATACAGTGAGTCGATTATAGCTATAACACGGAACTAGGTTTGCCTAACTCCAAAGCCTTTTCTAGATGTGAGTATATGAGTAATAATGAAAGTGTTTTCACTTATTAGCTCATGAAGTATTTTTATTTAAGACCTACTATGTGCGAAACACTGTGCTCAGTTCGGAGAATTCAGCAAATAAGATATCTTCTGCCTTACGAAGATTACAGTCAACTTGGGGTGGGAGGAAGAGGCATTAAAAAGATAAGGACACAAATATATGATTACCAGTTGTGATTAGCATCACGAACAAAAGGACATGATGTTGTGAGAGAAGAACAGGGGAGACTAATCTGGATTGTGGAGTCAGGGAAGACATTTCTGAGCCTGAGAAGGTAGCAAGGAGTTAGTCAGGCAAAGATGGGAAGATGATTTCAACCTTTCCAGGTGGACCGAGCTGCTAAGCGTGGCAAGCTGATCCAATTGGCCCCCAACAAGGCTCTTCAGGGGATGGAGATGCCCAGATGATGGCCACAGCCAGCTTTCTAGAGAAGGGTTGTGGCATGTCCAAGTATGTGGTATTTCCTTAATACGTTATGTACTGGGGAGAGTCCTGTCCAGACATGGAAGTGGCCTCTCCCTTCCCTTGGAAATTCTGGCATGCCATCCAGTTTTGCAACTTCCCAGGATGTTGCCAGTCAGCTCTGCTGACCTATTGGCCCCACAGCGCCTGGTGAATCTTGTATTATTGTTCCTTGATTGGTTCTTCATGTTCTAATATCCACAGGGCAGAAAGTTAGAGCCGAGCATGTTTGGCCACTTTTGTCCCAGTAATCTTCACTTTCACTGGGAATTTACATGCTAAAGATTCGGACATCCCAGAGAAAAGTTGCTCAGCCTTTTGACTAGTGATGTAATCATAGGCTCAGGAAATCTAGCAGTATTTATTCAATGGGATCAATACTTTGGATGGCATTGGAGAGGACTACATGGAAGATGAGGTCAAACTACATAGCTCTTGGATAATGGAGCAACATTGCCTTTTCCAAGAGGAGCAGCATTTCTGGGTTACAGAGTGAAAAACCAATTCTGGGTAAAGGAAAGAGAGAGGACTTAACAATTCTCAGTAAGGGTAGATCTTTCTGGATAATGGGGGAAAGATGAAACTGCCGTGCTTTTCTGAATAACAGAGGGAGGCAACCCAGAAAGGGAAGCAAGATAGTAGCATCATTGGCCCACAAGAACTAGCCAACAGGAGGGCATGTGAGCAAAGACTTCCTTGTGTGGCCATCAAGCACAAACAGAGGAAGGTGTGTTTGAGGAGGCAGGGGTCCTGGAGTTTGTTTATTTCCAAGGCTTTCCATTGCTGCTGCATATGGCCTGGGGCCAGTGGACCTCACAAAGCTCAGCCACCATGTTCTTAAAATAGAGCATGTTTGTGCCCTCTAGGTTCTGCAGTGACCGAGAGACAAAGCTAGCGTCTTCTCTCAACTGCCCAGATGTGAGGACCTAGAAACCCACTTGGAGATGCTGTGAGGGGACAGTTTAGTCATTTAGACTATGAGCTGTTACAGCTGGAGGGAAATTAGTCACATCCAGTACAAATCCTTCGTTTTACAGTTGAGGAAACTGAGGCCTGCAAGTGGGAAATGACTCGTCCAAGTCCTCACAGGAAAAACAGAGCTGGGACTAGAGCCGAGAATCCCCGACTCCTAGCCTGGTTCTTTACAACACTAAACTTAAAGCCGTTTCATAAGATGAGAGAATGGCTTTCTGGAGGAATCGCTTGGGACAGAAATCAGAGACTGAATGGAAAGACTCAAGGAAATGAATACATTAACATTTAACGAAAGCCTTCTATGAATTAGGCACTGTGCCAACCTCATTTAATCCTCTCAAAAATCCCCAGGTTGGAGATACTTTTTTAAAAGATTTTATTTATTTATTTGACAGAGAGAGACACAGCGAGAGAGGGAACACAAGCAGGGAGAGTGGGAGAAGGAGAAGCAGGCTTCCCACAGAGAAGGGAGCCCGATGCGGGACTCGATCCCAGGACCCTGGGATCATGACCTGAGCCGAAGGCAGACGCTTAACGACTGAGCCACCCAGGTGCTCCCCATGTTGGAGATATTATTGCCTTTTACAGCTGTTGAAACTGAGACTCAAAGAGATTAAGTAAACATGTGGCTGAGTATCTGAACCCAGGTCCGCTTGAAAACAGCCTGTACTTTTCTACCCGAGCAGCTGGAAACATCCATTGGTTCTCAAGATCATCACTGTTGCGGTAAAACCTGGGGCAGAAATGAGGCAAGGCTAGCAAGCATCTGCCTTTTCCTATAGTGAGCAGGCAAAGGAGGAGCAGATAGCTCTTTCCTCAGGCACAAAGGCAGGGTGATGAACAAGAGCATTGACACCTCTATTCTGAAGTCATAGTTTGTGTTATGGAGAAATAATCTTCTGGATCAATTTAGGCTTTCTGATCTCATTTTAGGTATGGTTACTCCAATGGCTCTTTTCCTTTTGGCCTATGTACTCTCTCTGCTCTTATGAATGCTATTTTTATCCCAGTTGAATCACTTATATTACGTTTTGACACAGGTTATTTTGTAAAGTTTTGTATATAATTTGCTTCTGAAACACCACTGGCCAATAACCATGGAATTCCTTTCCTTCTAGGCTAAGTGCTTTAAGAAATGAGATCACCTTCAGATGAATTGTTAATAAAAATTAAAGCTATAGCCAATAGCATGGGTATTTTTGGGCTCTTGGCCAGCAAATAAACCATCTGTGTGAAAGAAAACAGGCTGACCATTTTGGACTCTGGTCTCCGTGGCCGCATTGTGTGTTGACCTCACCGGTAATTATCCAAATTAATTGCCTTTGGGTTGTGTTCTCTCATCATGGAAACCTTCCTTTCCCAATTCAAACCATGTGGGTTAAAATGAGAAAACAAAAGCAAAAAGTCCTCCCCACCCCATACCCGAAAGCCCCTCTGTCAGGGATCCCAGGTGGACCCGGGGGGCGGTGTTGCTGTTGGAGGCCGAGAAGGGCTGGTCATCACCACATACCATCCATAGGTGGAGGTCTGTTATTCTGTTTCCCCCCTATGAGAGGATACCTATTGTTCCTGAAAACGCTGACCAGGACCCACACTTCCAACAAAAATTCCTCCACCCCTACAACAGCAGAAGCAGCGGCAATAGAGAAGGGTTTTGATGAATTGCAAGATGGATAGGGCTTGCAGTGGCCCCAGCCCTGCTGATACCAAATGCCTTTAAGATACAGCCTTTCCCATCCTAATCTACAAAGGAAACAGGAAAAAGGAACTTAAAAACTCCCTGTGCTCAGACAGAAATGAGACTGTTACAGCCCGCTTCTGTGCTGTTCCTTCTTGCCTCCGACTTGTAAACAAGACCTAGTAGAACATGCGAATGGAAAGTCACAAACCTCTGCGTGTTTGAAAGGATCCTTGGGACCTCATGCACATCTGCGGAAACTGGATGGAGAGATTTGGGGAAGCATGGATTCTTTAGCCGGTTTACTTCTCTATGGAGTCAGCTTGCTCCTTTCTGGTAAGGTTTGGCTTTGTTTTTTTAATTTAGTTTTTTTTTTTTTTTAACAGAGCTGGTGATTCTGGGCTCTCTCACCAGCTGTTAGTGCTGGTTAACAAGGGGCAGCTGTGGTATATAGGCACCATTTATGACTTTCCATTTAATCTATGTGGGGATTAAAATGCAATGTCTTTTTGGCATTGAACTGATTTTTCTAGAGTTTCACTCCTGCATAATTGCCAACTGTGTTGCCACAGACTATGAGCACTGATCATGTCACTCTGTAGAGATTCACTTACTATGATACGTTATTTGTCACTCTGTAGAGATTCACTTACTATGATACATTATTTTACTGCTCTTCATTTAGGATTGTTTCCTTATTTAAAAAAAATTAGAAACCGAGTTTTACCTGCTTCAAAAAAAGTTTTCCATAATTTTTTAAAAATGAAAGTCATGCTGAGAATGATGTGGCCCACTTAACGGCAATGTGCAGATTGCCATTTTTAAATGAGAACAAGAATGCTTTTCTATAAGGATTTCATATCCACATCCTTTTTTAATCGAAACAGTCAAAGGCTAGGCTTTTTGTTTTTTCTTTTTTCCTTAGGGCTGTGGTCAGGGCTATATAATTTTTGCTAGCTTTTAAAAAATATTTGTCATGCAGTGATTTATAGTCTTTATTGGCCCAATGGGCTGAAAGTTGGGGCAGTTACCCCGATCCATAGGCACAGGAGAGTATCGAAAGCTGTTGTAGAGCTAAGGAACGGTGGACTTGGATGTTTTTAGATCTCGTATGTCTGTTGCTCAGGTTCTCCAGATAGTGGCATGCCTCTTATGTTCCCTCACCCTGTGGGACACTGGCTGAGAGTGATACTAAAACCTGAAGTGCAGATCACAACTCTAATCGCCAGCATGCTCTCCCTTTTAGTTTGAAAACATTCTAATTATTGTAACGAAAATAGAATTGATAGTGGAAATCAAATTGGGAAAACGTGCTGAATTCAATGGTGCAGTCTATATTATGTTAGTAGAAATTGACCCGAACATACATAAGTATGTGTTACATTATTTTGATCTTTTTCTGTATGTTTGAAATATTATATTAAATATTCAAAAAAATCCAACAAGATAAGAGAATTGCGTGTAATTTGTCTATAGCTTTTCAGTTTGTTTTCAACACCCCATTATATTGAGGATTTAGTAATATTTTTAAGGCTAAGAATGTGTAATATAAATTGCTGAGATGGTTTCAACGTTTTGTTCAAATTACTTATATTAACATAGAAATGTTGATTTCTCCTGTAATAGGCACTTTTAAAACAAATAATTATCATGATTGCATATTTCTTTTGCTTTATTTTCTGTGTGACATATTTATCAGTAACATGAAATCTGGAACTATTCTACACCAGGGATTATAGTAATCCAGGCCCAGGAGGCTGCAGTTGCTCTGAGACACTTTATAAATTATAAATTAAATCACCTGTGTGCACACACATGCAAACACACACACACACAGTTTTGTTTTGTTTTGTTTTTAAAGATTTTATTTATTTATTTTAGAGACAGAGCACAAGAGGGGGGAGCAGGAGAGGGAGAAGCAGACTCCCTGCCAAGCAGGGAGCCCGATGCGGGACTCGATCCAGGGACTCCAGGATCATGACCTGAGCCGAAGGCAGTCGCTTAACCAACTGAGCCACCCAGGCGCCCCCACACACACAGTTTTAATTCAGTTTTTTTTTTCCCCTCAAAGTGACTACGTCATGGCACTTTGCAGTATAGGCTTAGACATAAAATCAGACAAAAGAAATTATGTGGCTGAAATAGTAGCTCTGTGTTTAGATCTTAGTTCCCTGGAAACAAAGCCCTGACTTCAGCAGGGAGAGGGATTTCATGCTCCTACTGAAAGGGAAGGGTAACACTAGCAAGGCTGGTTTCTGGGGTAGGTCTGTTGTATGCGAATCCTAACTGACCTTCCCAGTCTAGCCTTCCATGGACATGGATACACAGTGCTGGGAGCTGCAACAAGAACCCAGCATGATCGTGTCTGCAAGTATAGGAGCCCATTCTTCACACCGACCTCCAATGGTGGACTACAGTAATGGAGCAAGGGACTTACGGCTTACGTGTTTCTCTCTCTATTCCAGTGGGTTCTTTCTGACTCCTTTTTCCTCTGAACATATAAGACTGAAACAATATGTCACATTTGCCTCAATAGAAGTGGCTCTGGGTGGCAGATACTGACCCATAAGGAGTTGGAAAACGTATATAATTTTCAGAAGACTTCCCTAGATTCTGGTACGTTCCCCTCCCAATTGAGAATCATGACCAAATTACAAACAAGTTCTAATAAACATACTGGCTTTTCCCTACTCTCCCATCCTCACCAAATCAGGCTGTTCTGTCTAAAGAATTGTATATGCAGAAATACAAAATAAAACAAATTATTCTTTGTGCTTTATCATAGTATATCCTATATGATCAACACTGACCCAGTGGGAAGTCTCTAGTAGTGTGCCTTCATATCTCTTTCCTATTTCATTTGACGTTTTAAATAACAACCATTATCTCTAAGAGTGGATATCTTGTCTGGAATGACAGTGGAAATTCAGTTACAAGGTCAGGGAAGTGGTCCCAGATGGAACCTTCTCATGAGGGCTGGTCTTGGAAGGCTGTATCGGGTGTGAGTAATGGAGGGTGGAGGTCCAGAAGCCGGGACCAGAGACACACCTGGGAATTATTCTCACAGGGAGGAGTTTTGCTTTCTCCAGAGATGCTCCCTACTAAGCATTGTCTTTGTTAGAAATGTCAGCATTTCCTTTTCAGCTCTATGCTGGGAGAGCTTCCTGCTAGAGTTCTAGTTGTTTTAAGACATCCCTCGAGGAGGAAAGGACTCATCCGAGTCCATTTCAGAAGACTGTGCTATGTCTTCTGGGAGATTCATTGGATGGGCTCCAAATTTTTCTGACATTATAAATTTGTCTAACTAAAAAGATATGTGTGCGACTGTGTAACCTGCTTATTCCCTGTAGATGACTTATTGGTGAGAGCACAGAATCTGGATTCAGATGATTTCTCTAAAGTGGATAAGTGGACCAAACCCAAAAGATAGCATTTCAAAATAGATGAATGTGAAGTTATAAGTTTGGTTTCAAAAAATGTGTGCATGTATGTTCAGTGTGAGAAAGTCTTGATTTGTTGAAAGTTCTAGGGAATAACACCTACATTTTGGTGATACACACAATTCATAGGTGTCAACATGTGCTCTGCTTACTAAAATGTAATATATAAGCTGCAACAGTTCACTTTAGTAGAAATATAAGGTCCACATTAGAAATGGTAGTCACTTTACTGCTCAGAGAATATCCATTAAACACTGAAGACAGTGAGAAATTTGACAGCAAACACAGTGGGCAAGCAGGAAGGTAAGTACTTTAGAAAAATATTAAGCCAGGAGAAAAGAGATGGAGTTTTTAAGGGTTTCCGTAGAGAAGACACCATAGATTGACATTGTATTTTGCCAGATCTAGGATACAGGGATGAAGGGAGTTTGGCTTGATTGATGGAAACCTTCTAAATATTGGATCATCATCCCCATGAAAAGTGAGCTCCCACATTGGAGAGTGTTGAGGCATAGATTGGGTGATCATCTAGCAGGATCACTGAAGAATGTGGAGCGTGATGCTTACTCCACTTCCCTTTTATATCCCTTTCATTTTACTGTTTGTGCCTCCTCCCTGATCACTTGGGTGGAGAAGAATTCAGAAAAGCATCAACATCTTTGCCCAGTGAAACCAAACTGGGTGTGTTTCCTGAATTTTAACTCAATCAACATGTCTTAGGAGAAAAAAACATATGTGTACATGTGCTATGATGACTTTTCTGAAGCCACTGCTTGAGGGGACTGAGGTGGAGCTAATCAAGAATGCAGGAGAAAGAGTTAAGAATATGGACTGTGAAATCACAGACCTGGGGTGAAGCTCAAATTGGATGACTATGGGAAAGTTACTTGATTTCTCGAAGCCACTCTTTCCTCATCTTTTATGGAGGAGAGGACCTATTTCCCAAAGTCCTTATGAGCATCATGTGATGCAAGTAGAGAGCTTAACCAGTAAGAATTTCCTTAATAAATGAAGCTAGTATAATAAAAAAAAAAGAAGTGTTTCTATGAGGACCTCTGTGTTAGTTCAAGACTGGTCTAATATTTTCCAGCATGTGGGGGAGTCACTTACTGCTCATAGAAGCACTCTGCTTCTAAAAGACCTCAACATAATCTAATTCCACAAATTTTATGCTTTTATCTCTCTATGTGGGCTATTATCCAGTGTTTCCCCTCACCTCCCCATTCATCCTTGCTCTAGGCTCTTTGCATTCAATCAGGCCCATCTCTACAATCTATGCACTCTTTCCTCTTGGCTCTTGTTCATGCTCTTCCATCCATTTGGAAAGGACATTCTCCATGCCTACGCTGCAAACACAGTTCAACTCAACCTGCCTAGGCCAACTTTGCCTCATGATCTTCCCCTAATCCTGAGTTCCCTTACCATATAGGCTGTGTCTTTGTGATTTGGGCACATAGATTTAGCTCCATTAGCCTTTAACATTTTGACAACAGATATTACTTCTTTTTTATTCTTGATAGTTCATGCATTTTATGTTCAATAATCTTTATTGGAAAGAGTTTAATATGGTGTAATAAGAAATTATTGATATGCCCCAGCAGGCCTGAAAGAAAGAGGGAATGTTGTAGAGAGGATTTTAGTCACATTGAAATAATAATAATAATAATGACAAAAGTAACAAATAATGTGACAACAGTAAGCAATTTCATATAAACTGCAAGAGGTATTTGCTCAAATCTTAAAAGGTTGGCTTATGTTAAATATATGATGTGAATAAGGTCAAAAGAAAATTCCCTTATTCCCTTAGGTGTGAAACATAAAAATAATTCATGAAAATGGGTCTAACCTGGCCTTTACTTTTGAGTTATTGCCTGTCTTTTGTTGATTCATTTATTC